ACTTTGTTTTATTGCACACACGCACACACACACGCACACACACACACGCACACACACACACACACACACACACGCACACACACACACACACACACACTGGGATCAGATTCCGGGCTTTTTGTTGCCGCTGTCGCTAGTTGCGGTGACATTTTGCGTTCGGGTCGCCGTCGTCAAAACCATCGCCATAGCCCATAGGTGTTAATAATTCAATTAGCAGTCGTTTATGTTAACGTTGCGCAAAAACACAAAAAGCAAAAAAAAAATAATCCAATGTAATGCTCCACGCAACTGTTACCACAAGGAGCCAATGTTGTGATGCCTGTGCGTGAGCAAATTGTTGTTCTTGTTGTGTAGTGTAGTTTAGTGTGGTATGGTGTGGTGTGGTGTGGTGTGGTGTGGTATGGTGTGGTGTTTGGTGTGGCAGCAAATGTTTAATGTTTGTTCCGGCCAGTAAACAAATGATTTTGATTGCTCTGTCTAGCACTGAACAGTATGCTCAGATTACAGCTCGTTTTATGATTGTGCTTGTCATCATCATATGTAGTTTAAGGTGTACAAAAATATACATGCCTATGCACATGTACATTTACATGTACATACATACACACATACATACAGGCACTTCTGAGTGCAGTTACATTTCAGTTGCATGACGGTAAATGGTATTCCTTGCCAATCAAATGATATGGAACAGAAATGTCATCGCAATCCAATCTTGGGTGGAAAAAAAATGTTTTGTTTTTTGTTAGATTCTTGTAGAAATATACTTTTGAGAACACTGAAGTGGAAAACCTGCTTAAGAGAGGATAATTTTTGATTACCTAAGTAATCTGCTTACATATTTTTGTATTTCGAATGTGTTTTATTTAATAAAGTTAACAAGCTTGAATCTCTTGTTAAAGTGTATATTTGTGCGTGCTTGCATAACTCTTCAGACTGACTTAAAATGCTTGTCTTTCTTGTGCATAATACAGTGGCATCATCGCAAAGGCTTTGTAGTATCGATCCTAAACGGACTCCTCGTTTTCTTTTGTTTCTTCAAAGATTTGCCATTCAGCCGTCTGCAAAATCCCTAGAGATTTGTGGTATATTCTCTATAGAGTTACGATTCTATGATCAAGAATATGCATAGGCCTTCATTTGGTATCAGAAAATATATGTGAAGCATTGCTTATGCATAGTACAGTCGATTGTCCAGTGTGATATGTTGCTGTTGGATTGTTGTTTGGTTGGTTGTGGCATTATTTATTGTTAGGCAATCGCTTTCCTTTGTTGTGCTCTTAGGAAAATAAAAAATATATATGCAGATTAAGGCAGAAAGTGCAATTGGTCATCGGTTTCTTAATTAGTTTTAAATAAATATTCTTTGTACGCAGCTGTGCAATGCCCATAGGACTCTGCCCACTTGCAGTTGCAGCCCACAGATCCCTGCCCTTTGCTATCGCTGGCAAACTAAATGACATTTATTGTCAGTTTTTGGATCAGTACAATGCGGATGCAGCTGCAAAAATCTGTCTCTGGCCAAATGTCTTTCCATATTTTTCATGCACAATTTCAGGAAGGAGTTTGCAGGAATGGCAATGGAAATGGAAGCTCGTTTCAATTCTACATTCTCCTCCGCTCTCTTCTCTGGCCACCGACTCCATCCTCCTACGCTGCCTCGGTCACGGTCTCTCTGCCTGCTTTATATATATATATACTTTACTTGTCTGTATTTATTTATTTACGTGTCCAGAGCCAGACGATGGGCCATATCCAGCTGGTTGCAGCCCGCTCGTCGTCTGGGAAATGAAGAATATTGCACTGGCTGACAAATTTATTTCGTTGCCGTTGGCGGTTTTTTCTTTTTCGTCGGCTTTTTGCAATGTGTCAGCCCTGCCATGCATATTAAAATGTTGAAATATACACATTCACTATGGTATATTCATTATTGAATACTTTTTCGCTACAATTTATAAATATTATAAGCAAAAGTAAATACAATTTATATTTTTACAGCTGCTCAAATCCACAAATTGTTAAAACTGATCAATCCAACAATTAATTATGTATTTTCAACAGTGTGGCTTTTATTTGGACAGCATACTAACGCTGCAGGCAAATGTGAGCAAGTTCACGCTGATATCATAAGTTGACGGGTCTTTGTTTACCTTCCTGAATATGGTTAGTGTTATGTTGTTTGATGGAAGCGAGTTACAGGGCATTTCCTAGCCGGACACTCTCAATTTAAGCCTTCCTGCTTGCAGCATATGTTCTGTTAAGCTGTCGCTTAGTATCATTCAATTAGAGTACATCATTTCAGCAGGCAGTTATAAAGTTTAGCACTATTTTCTTTACCATTAGTGTCTTATATTAGGAATCACATATATCGCATATATTCAAATATTCACAAGCTTTCGCTTGCTATACATTCTTAATGGGTATATTTAAAGTCAACAAATCAGGCTTGTCCTCATTTCAAGTGGTCGCAATTAATACTAGTTGCTGGCTAATGGTCTTTTGCACTTAAGTTTCATGCTGATTCACGTTAGCGTCTGGGGATCAATCTTCAATATATATTTTTGTTTCCAAATTATCTGTTTCATCCATAAGTAAAGCTGCCAGAGAGACGTTAACAATTATTGTGTAACACAAAAAAAGGACAGCTTAAAGGGAGCTTTGTATTGTGGGTCAAGTTTTGCATTGCTTTGTGTCGTCTGTCAATGTGTTTGGGCTTACTTTAAGTTCAGAATTTGTATTCAAAATATTGCGCACTGGGCCATTTGGTTGGGAAAGCCATTGCGACAATTTGTAAACTAAAGATGAATAAAACATGAAGTGAAAAACACTTTTGCTCTGATGAAAAGGCAGCGCAGCCAAGCCTTGATGGGGGTGGAGGAGGGGGGAGGCGGAGGGGTTGGGGGGCGAGGACATGTGTCCGCGCGTGTGTCTTTTAACAACTGCATGGTAACATAAACAGGATAATAAGGCACTTAAAATGCACTCTTCGCCATAGCCACCGGTGCCGTCTGTCGTTGCTGCTGTTGTTGCCACTGCCACTGCCACTGCTGCTGCTGCTGCTTCTGCTGCTGCTGCTACTGTTGCTCCTGTTGCTACTGTTGTCCAATACAATGCCGAGCAGACTGTAGACCCGAGGCCAGCAAAATAGAAAACAACAAACGCCGTTGTTGTAGGCGTATCAGGACAAACAGCGCTGACGAGAGGCCGACGCAACGAGGACGACAGCGGCAGGCACAGTGGTGAACAAAGCTGCGTAAAGTCGCCGCCACTTATGTCAGAGCAAATCAAGCGTTACACTCAACGTGCGCCACACCGAACCCGATTCCTTTCCACCCAACCACATCCATCCCGCTTGGAGTTCGGCGCCCGGCACAGTGAGTTCCAAGGTGCTGTCCCCCGACTCTGCCTTCAAGGCGTCCGCAATAGTCCTCACTCTTTTAGACATTTGCGTTAAATTACGTTTTATGTCATGTCATGAGCGTAATTGAAAATTTCCATTCTCTCAGACCTTCCACCCGCCCACACACGCACCCAGCCCCAAACCCTACCAGTTTACAGTTTCATATTGTTTCCCATAGTGCAGTGTGTACGTACCATGTACAACATAATATGCATTTACATTTATAAGTGCGTTACAAAAACCTTCCTACAGAATGTATTTCTCACTTCGTGCAAAGCCAACAACTCTTCAATATAGTTCATCCAGCAATAATAACTGAAATTTAATAATCGAATCTTTAATCTGTCAGTCTTTCAATATTCTTCCATATTTTGACTAAGGAAAGATCTGAGTAAAAAGTTCTCGATTCGAGCAAAGCTACTATATTTTTTTTAATGTGCAATTTGTAACAATGTGCAAAATATCCTTAAATTTTTTTTTTATTTTTGAAAGGACACATTTAATAATACAGTGAAAATAGTTTACCTAGTCAATTAAATTTGAATTATTTTACATAAAGCGGGCTTTGTCCTAAGGAGTCCAGAGTGTTGCACAAATTAGAGCGTTACCAGGCAACTCTAAAGAGTAGCACACGCTTGAACTCTATCTGGGCGCACTTCGCTGGTGCTTTGCAATAGTCGTAAGACGCCTCCAGCCTTCATACTTCAGTGCCCAGTGCATGTTGGCCATTGCACCAGCCGAGCTAATTACAAAGAGTAAAAGCACAATTCATTTTGCTTGTGGTTTATGCGCTTTTTTTTTTAAGTCCCCCCCAGCGAAGGGTGTATAATACGAAAGATCTGCTGGTTGTTTCAACCCCATGCCTCCACAACCCACTGCCTGCTGCCCCCATCGTGACGCGTCTTGCAGCGTTATAAAAATGTTTATGGCTGACGTTTGTTCGCATAAACTGCGAGCCTGGCTTCGCCTCTCGGCGGCTACTGTTGCCATTGCTATTGTGATTGCCATTGCGATTGCAAGTCAGGGTAAAAAGGTCACCAAGCCGCGGCCATCGGTGGCACTCTCCTCCATCTGCATTTCACACTTTTCCGCTCTCACTTTCTGCCCCTGCCTCTGCTCGGTCCTCGCCTGACGTGTGTGTACTGGACTGAGTGGACTCCTAACTTTATTGCACAGTATTTGTTAATAGCACTTGCAGTAAATGCATTCCGTCAAAACGAAACGAATTGAAACGCCCCCAAGCGGGTCAGGGCAAAAGAACTAGTTCCTGTTCATGTTCTACACAGCTTTACCCTTTGGCTATAAAGTTGATGTGGCGTATGGAACACGGCGCACATGGATCGCAAATAAACTTGTATATGTATCCACCAGTGACAGCATTTGATGCTGTCGACTTAAATGTTTCTATCACTTAATCCTGTTATTTATGGCAACGGTCGATTTGAACTGTTGGCCTTTGAATTTAAAGGTAGTAGGAACAAAAAAAAAAAGGAACATATCATCGGGTGTTCCCCAATTTTAAGTACTATCAATTAACTTAATTAACTTAAAGCTGTACGTTCTCTCTCTCTCTCTCTCTCTCTCTTTGCAGTCTTCCGAACACTTTAGCGAAGAAGTTCAGATTTCTGCCGGTTGATCGGCCTGTGATGTGCAATTATCTGAAAAATCACTGAAGTTATAGAGAGAAAACTGTTGAAACCGCCTGATGCAATATGGAGCTGCTGCAGTTGCTGTGCTACACATTCCTGTTACTCTTGTCGAGGATGCTAGGTGAGTGCGAATAAGAGTATAGAGTATAGCTTTGATCGTTGAACGCTCAAACGCCTGTGCACTGGGCCCTCGGGCAACGGGGTCAGTGTCAAGCGTGTCAACGATGTGCGAACCGAAAGTGATGAAGCTGAAGATGAGCGCCAACCGACACGCGCCTGCATAACTAGTCGATAACATAAGGAAGTCACGTCCCTTGACATGTTTTCTTAGATGTGTGTCAACCTGTGTGGGAGAAATAAATTAACAAAAATTAAAAGAAAACTAAATTTAACATTCACAAGGTACTGACTGTGCAAATCGTTGTCATTCAGTAAATTAAACCTATCTAAAATAAAGATATTGAAATAGGTAAAATATAATACAATAATACAATATTAAAAATATCACAATAAAAAATAAAAAATATAAGGAAACAGACCGATTGTCCCTCTGAGTGCTATATATTTAGTGATTTGATCCGGCGAATCCTTAAGTCTTATATCTTCGAGCATTGCGTCAAACAATTCGTTCTTATTGGAACTTATAGTTCCTGATCAAGGGACATCCAACTCGATCTTAATTTTTGCGTAGCGTTCACTGATAATATGCTAAAAAAGCATCGGATTTCCGCACCCTGAAAATATGTTTGCTTTCGATGAAACTTTATGGGAGTTCATGATATTTAAACCTGTAATAAATACTTGTGTTAGTTAGATTTGGCAAAGAATAGGTAAATGCGAAATTAGAATAGTCAACCGTTTCGAGAGTATATATCCCAAACTAATCGCACAATGCCCGCCCACTGTTCAGGGGCTAGTTCTCTATTGCCACCGTTAAGTCAACTGGCGAAAAAGCGTTTTGGTCGCAACGATGAGGATGACGCTGCTTTGTTTGCGGCCCACTTTAAGTGCGCCTTTCGATTAAACTAAACATAAATTTTATGGGCGATAAATTAGCCGAGAGTGCCGAGAGCTGCCCAACACCTGGTGTAAGCTCCAGCTCCAGCTCCAGCTGCATCTCCATCTCCCATCTTCAAATGGATCTCTAAATGCAGAAGTGGCAAAGCGCAGCAAAAAACTGCAATCATGGACTATATACATAGCTGCCCGTATATATTTGAGCATACGTACATGTACATATGTATATTTATACCTAAAAGCGCCAGAAAAAATAATCTTTATCGCAGCGGTTATTCAGGCTAGCTTCAAGCGATGCTGTTGTTATTTTCATTAGTTCTTCGCAACGTTAAACTTGCACTATTTCCCGGAAATAGTCTGCTGCTAGTGGCATAAGACGTTTAAGATAAATAAATAACTATGTATTGGAGATCTGGATGTGCAGCTATTTGGAATGATTCGTAATCTATTTTTTTGTTGTTTTTTTTTTTTTTTAGAAGCATTTGTAGTGCTTGTATGTGGATAAAGCTTCGGCAAGCAAATTGGTGACTAATGAGCGTGAATCGTAAACACTTAACTACCGCCAATTGTGGCGCCCAAGTAAAATGCCTAGGCAATAGAAACTGTTGTTCGGTCTTTTTCCACTACTTTTTCAGCATCTGTCCAAAATCCGTATTGGCAACTGAGAGCCCATTCAACTTAACCGGTCACAGCGTTTTTACGCTTCGTTTGTTTTCAAACTGATTTCAATCTGTTTTTGCTGTCTTTCAATCTATTCCAACCTTCGTTCGTTCACTTCACTTTGGCTTCATTGTTGCCCAAAAGTCACTGTTATTGTTTTTATTGTTCCTTCCATTCACGTTTTTGTCGCTTACTCAGCCGGTCATCATCATCATTGGAGTTTGCCTTCAAATTGCGCCCAGCATTGATTCGCAAAAAAAAAAAGGAACAAAATAAAAAAATAGATCGAACAATTATCTGTTACGAAGATGGAATACCCTGCCTAACATCTCATAGATCCTTGCCCTACAACGGCGTTTTCTAATATAGTCAATTCTTTCTTAATATTTGCATTTCGGCAATACACGAAATTAATGGTTTACTCAATTGAAAACATATATTTACATACTTGGAAACATTTTTAGACCGTTCACACATTATCCATTTTTATGAAAATTAATCTAATTTCTAATTTAACATATTCGGAAAAATTATATTTATAATAATTATAATGAGCTGAGGGTTACAGTCAATTAGCCTTGACTATAGTATTCAGACCAACTGGCTTTTTTTTCTTTAGTCTAGCAGATACCATGGAAATTAGCAGCCGAATAATCAAGTGCAGTTTTCATTTTCACAATGCCATCAGCGAAAATCGGAAAACAAAGGAAAGCGTAGACAAAGGCACTCCCTGCTTCGCTCATTTGGCTTAGTCTGACCCTCCTTTTGTTGCAGCCTTTCGATGTGGTCACAAATAATTGGCCGAGCGTTTGACGTTTAAATTTTATTGAATGCCAGCTGCAATTGGCAGTCGCGTTCAGCCCTCAGCCCGTTTAATTGTTGGCTCCACGCTGGAAACAAGGGCAAGCAGGCCCTCGGTCAACTAGCAAATGAACGAAGGAGGTGACCCAATGGAAAAAAATAACAAGCGGAGCTACGAGAATTATCGAAGCCGAAGAATAAATACCTTGTGTATCTAGCAATCTAATGTCGATCAATTTAATAGTGAAGACTCTCGTATTTTATGCAATCAAAATCAAATAACAAAAATCATTCCACACATACAATAGTTCCAATAACAGTTGCATGACATATGTGATCTGTGACAAAAGTGTCCCACTCGCTGCGCAAGGGTATTGTAAAGTAGTGCAAAGCATATTCATTGGCCAGCAGCTGCATAATTCATTTGAAATGCCTTTCTGCTGTGCAGAAACTTTCCTAATAAACGAGCACGAGTCGTGAATATTAATTTATTTTCTACTTATGCTTTATTGGTTCTCATTTTATGCTTAAAACTTGCCATTCGGCCATTCCGCTAATGTTTTTCTTTAAAGAGATCGAACCATGCATAAGAAATTCTGGTTGTATTACATTGGTCAGCTTCAAACAATGGATGTTATGGCCCATCGAGCATTACACATGTGTGCATTATTTACGGATCATTTGTGGCTGTCGATGGGCGATGCTAATTTGCCGTTTAAAGTGTTGCAGCATTTTACGCTTAATTTAGCATTGATAATATTACGCATACGCCACCGATTCGAATCGATAACGATGCCTATATCACTGCCTATGCTTATCCCTGAAAACACCAACCAACACCTGTTGTGTGTTTTGTCTTTTACGAGTAATGGCCGTGCCTAAAAGCGGGCCACGCATTTTTAGCTCAAAATACAGCACTAAGCACTTCAGACACACCCAACAACAGCAACAGCAACAGCAACAATAACAGGAATATCAATAATCATAACAAAATGTGAGCGTCCAAAGGTGAGGCAGCCCCAAAATGGCTCAAGAAGTCATTGAGGTTGAAAGAACAGGGCGCTACAGTGGCACAAACTATACATTCGTTAGGATTCCAAATGACAGCTGGCCCACATCGCGGGTCCCTTGGAATATAGTCTCAAATCGCCGGAAACAGAATTAAATTTATATTCAAAAATATTATCTTTTCTATACAATATCACATACATAATGAAAATGCATCCATTATTTGATTTAAATATTCATTAACTTTTTGTTTATAACTCAAAATTTCACAGCATGCTATTTTTTCTATTATTACAATTTTTTTATATAGTTTGTAAAATTGTTTTTTTTTTTAATTTAAATTTTGTAGTCTAGTTGTTTCCACTGTATGGAGTTTAGAAAAGATCCAAAACAGCGTGCTGCTAAAATTTTATGGTCATGAGCCCCAGAATCCATTTCCTTACATCACCTTGCTGAATGTGCCGCACAGGTGACGGCAAATTGATGCTGTTATTGTCAGGCGCCTGCGTCTCCGTCTCCGTTTCTGTGTCCGTCTCTGTCTCAGTCCTGTCGGTGCCTTTCCCTGTCTCTGACATCCTTGTCGTCGTTTCTGATTGTGTTGCTGTTGCTGTTGTTGCTGTTGTTACTGTTGTTGCTTGGGTGCCAAAATGCCAAACGCTGTCAACTGTCATCGCTTAACTTCTGTCGGCCCAAACCCCCCCCCCATCCCCCACGCCACCCATACGAGTTCCCGCTCCAACGTTGAGTGGCTGCTGTCATGTCAGGCGACCATAATCATTGGCGTTCATACATAATGGACTCATTGATATTCGCAGCAAGGCAACAAAAGCAGTAACGAAGCAACAAAAGCCAAGTGGCTTTGACTTTTTCGTCGTCTTTCGTCTGTCGGCAGTCGACAGTCGACAGTCGGCTGACGGTTGTCGGTTGTCGACTGGCGTACGGCTTACAGTTGACCCGCAGCCTGAACTGGCCCGCTTATTGTCCTCGTCCGCATTGGGGTCATAACAGTAATTGCCAACAAAACGAGTGATTAACCTGACAATACACATACAAGTTCACGCACAAAGCGCACAACAGTGCAACACTGGCCATCGACAACGCCCACATTCCATTTGCCATTTGACCTTGTCTCACTGTCGCCAGTCCTCAGCTTTCCGTTCTCAGTTCTCAGTTCTGAGTTTTGAGTTCTTGGCAGTCCATGATGTGTGCCCAGCCAGTCCATGCAGTTGGCATTTGCCTTTGTTGGGTTCGAAAGGCATTGATGGCTAGCTTTAAGCAATGGCCTTGCAGCAAATAGATAGCAAACACATTGGCTGACTTCGATTGAGATCGAAATGCTGTCTCAATAAGCTGTCGATGGGTAAATTGTGCCATAGAATAGATCGTGACATGCTTGTCCAACTTGTTGAGGGGGACTCCTAAAGAGGGGTTTGCGCAAAAAACACATAATTGGAGCAAAATCGTTGCAAAGCTGTTGTGTTTTTATCTGGTCGACTTTATTTATTTATTTTTTGTTATTGTATGCGTGCTTATGACATGCAAAATCTATTTTTTGTATAATATTATTTTATATTATTTTGTAATTCGACTTATCTTGAAGCCTCTTCACAAAAAAGTAATCAACAATATCATTAT